CTTTCTTCCGAGTCCTTCTGGATGGGTTCAAACCACCAACCTTCTGGTTAGTAGTCAAACAGTTAACTGTTCACGCCACTCAGGAACTTCCTCCTACGTTTGACTAGATCCATGCTTTTCACCATTTTCTAGCCAGGGAACTCTTTGTTCTAACACTCTTATCCAGAAATCTACCATTGACAACAGAAAAATAGTCAGCTGATGGCAGTGACTCCATTTGCCACCAGGAGTCCCTGGGTGGCACAAGCAGTTAAGCACTCAACTAACCAAAAGGTTGGTGGTTTGAACCCAACTACAGGCACCTTGGAGGAAAGGTCTGGCAATCTGCTTCTGAAAGGTCACAACCATGAAAACCCTATGGAGCACAGTTCTACTCTACACACATAGGGTTGCCATGAGTCAGAATCCACTCAACACAGCTGGCTTGGTTTGGTTTTTTTGGTTGGCAGTGAGGGCAGTGGGCTGTCCAGCGAATTCTCTAACCCTCCCTCCATCCTCCTGTTTCCAGCTGCCCCTGTTGGGCCTCTATGGAACACAGTTGGAAAGTCACTGGAAATTTTCATGAAAAGTGAGTTTCAGCTATTTCTCTTACCTTGGGCTCTGTCCTGTTGATGCCTGTGAGGAAGAGCAGGTGGGCCAGGAAGAGGCAGAGCAAGAGTTGCAGGTGGAGCGAGGTGCTGGTGTTCTGGATGGGCCGGCACAGGAGGAAGGTGAGGGCCACCAGGAGGAGGCACAGCAGAGAGAAGCTCAGCCCCACGTAGGTGATCGCACCCAGCACTGGATCCTTCTGGGTCCAGCAAGAGAGAACACAACGGTCACTCCATCCTTCTTTATTTTTTTGATTAATTAATTAATTATAAATTTTTTGTTGTTGTTGTTGAGAATATACACAGCAGAACATACACCAATTTAATAGTTTCTACATCTACAATTCAATGACGTTGACTACATTCTTCCAGTTGTGCAATCATTCTGACCCTCCTTTTCCAAATTGTTCCTCCCCCATTAACATAAATTCAC